TTGTGATCTACTTTATCAAATGCCTTACTGAAGTCCAAGTAAATTATGTCCACAGCATTCCTCTGATCCACTAATTTTGTCACTTGGTCAAAGAATGCAATAAGATTTGTCTGGCATGATCTATTTTTGACAAACCCATGTTGGCTTTTAGTAATGACTTTGTTTGCCTCTAGGTGTTCATTGATTCGTTGTTTGATTATCTTTTCCAGGATCTTCCCAGGTATTGAGGTCAGGCTGATAGGTCTGTAATTTCCTGGATCCATTTTTTTTCCTTTTTTGAGGATGGGAACTACATCAGCTCTTTTCCAGTCCTCTGGTAGTTCCCCTGTGTTCCAGGATCTTTGAAAAATATAGTTCAGTGGCTCCGATATCACATCTGCCAGTTCCTTGAGAACTCTGGGGTGTAATCCATCTGGTCCTGGCGATTTGAACCCATCTAGGCTGGACAGGTGCTCCCTAACGATTTTCTTGCCTATCTTAACTTGTGTTTCTGTTTTGTTTTTTATGGCACTATTTTTGATAGGTTGGTCTGTTTTTTCCCTTTGTGTAAAGACAGATGCAAAAAATGAGTTAAATAGTTCTGCTTTCTCCCTGTTGCTTGTCACCTTCTTGCCACTTCCACCCACTAATGGACCAATCATTTCCTTCACTTTTTTCTTGTTTTTTACATGTTGAAAGAAGCTTTTTTTTGTTATTTTGTTACTTTAGATCAGTGGTAGTCAACCTGGTCCCTACCGCCCACTAGTGGGCGTTCCAGCTTTTTTGGTGGGCGGTAGGGGTTCAATCGAGCTGTTTAAATTTTCGGATCCATCGAGCCCTCCGATCGGCTCACAGAGCTTTCCAGCAGACGCGGGGTGTTAGCCTCAGCTGTGCAACCACCCACGGAGCTCTCGGAGACCAGAGAGCCTCGCCAAAGCGCGCCGTCATCGCGAGGCTCCCATCGACTTTCTTGACAATCCGGATCGCAGCAGAGGCTGCGCAATGAGATAAAACTGCAAGTGCCTCATTTTCGGCTCCGGGGGGTGGAAATTAAAGGCACAACAAACAACAAGCTTCCCCTTAGGGCCCCTCAAGGCTGGGAAGGCCCAGCCCAAATACAAGCGGCCGCTAATTTTGGCACGGCCGCCATTTTGAGAGCCGCACAGAGCCCTCAGTCATAGAGGTTTCATCTCTGGCAAGAACCAGGCTCTCTCTTCATCCTGCTGTGACAGGCACAGATCGGGGGCAAACCAGACTCCACTGGGCATTCCCTCAAGACCAAGGTAGAGGCCATGTCTCAAAAAAAGAAATACGCTCGTGGCTATTTGCCAGAGTATCTGAAGATGGGTTTCATAGAATCTGTTGTAAATAAACAACACCCAATGTGTCATAAAACATTATCCAATGAGGCAATGAAGCCAAGTCGATTGCGAGAACATCTTTCTACAAAGCATCCAAATGATAAGGACAAGCCCATTGAATATTTTCAGGAAATATATAAAAAAATTCAAAATCATTCAACAATCGTTGCATCATTTAAGAAACAACATGCAGCGAACGAAGATGGATTAATTTGCGCTTATCACATTTCACAATTAATTGCAAAAAGTGGTGAAAGCTATAATATTGGAGAAACAGTAATAATACCCTCTATAAAAGAATTTATTTCAACAGTAATGCATCAGGATATACCTGAAAATTTAAAAATGTTGCCCCTAAGCGATAGTACAGTAAAGCGATGAATTGATGAAATGGCAGTTAATGTTGAAAAAAAAACTGATAAGTATTCTCCAAAACACTTCATTTTCTATGCAATTGGACGAGTCTACCACTGCAGATAATAATGCTTTATTGATGGCATATGTACGTTATTTTGATGAAAACAATACATTACAAGAAGAAATGCTATTCGCAATAAATCTCATTACAGATACAAGAGGATTATCTATATTTAATACTGTGAAATCATACTTTACAAAAATAATATTCCTTTGAATAATATTGTTGCATGTGCTACTGATGGAGCACATCAATGGTAGGTTGCTATCGTGGATTTGTTGCTTATTTGAAGGAAGAAGTGCCAAATGTTTTATGTATTCATTGTGTGGTGCATAGACAACATCTTGTAGGAAAACATCTAAGTACAACTCTCCATTCATCATTAAATATAATAATTCAAGCCATAAACAAGATCAAATCCAAACCAAAAAATGATAGAATGTTTTGACAGCTTTGCCAGGACAATAATGAAGATTTTATTACGTTACTTTTGCACACAGAAGTTCGGTGGCTGTCAAAGGCTACATCTTTGGCTCGTTTTGTAGCATTATATGATAGTGTCATACAATTTTTTGAAAGTAATAATGAGACCAATCTGTGTCAACAGTTAAAAACAGTAAATAATGATGCCTTTTATTTGGCAGATATTTTCAAGAGATTTCATGATGTCAATTTGCAGCTTCAGGGAGCTAATAAGACTCTTATAGGTTGCCAAAGTATTGTGTCATTATTTATTGACAAACTTGAACTACTTCGTTATAATCTATTGAAGAGAGAATTTCATCAGTTTCCTGAATTATCATCTATAAAAGATGATGTAACTCCAGAGGATATTGACAGATTTAGTAGCCACCTCAACAAACTTAAATTGGACATGTAAAAACGATTTGAAGATATTTTGAAATTGAAGGTGTATGACTGGATGAAAAATCCTTTTACCGCAAATATTGAAGAGGCTGATATAACTTGCCAAGAAGAACTTTTAGAAATTAGATATGATGAAGAAAGTAAACATAAATTTGATAGTGGTGGATATGAAAACCTATGGCAAAGTAAAAAAATGCCTGCCTTATATCCAAATATGTGGAAAATGATATTCAGTTTATTGATACCTTTCCCTACCTCATATCTTGTGGAATCAGGCTTTAGTGCTGTTAATCATATTATGACCAAAGAAAGAAACCGCCTGAATATTTCCGAAAGAGGAGACCTTCGTTTGTTCCTTACAAAAATTGAGCCAGATATCCAGTATTTAGTTTCGCAGCATCAGCCTCAGGGATCTCATTAATAATTTAATTAATTAAATGTAATTTCATCAGACTTCCTGTTTCTACAGTGGGGCAAAAAATATTTAGTCAGCTACCAATTGTGCAAGTTCTCCCACTTAAAAAGATGAGAGAGGCCTGTAATTGTCATCATAGGTAGACCTCGACTATGAGAGACAAAACGAGAAAACAAATCCAGACAATCACATTGTCTGATTTGGAAAGAATTTATTTGCAAATTATGGTGGAAAATAACTATTTGGTCATCTACAAACAAGCAAGATTTCTGGCTCTCACAGACCTGTAACTTCTTCTTTAAGAGGCTCCTCTGTCCTCCATTCATTACCTATATTAATGGCACCTGTTTGAACGTGTTATCAACCTCAGTCACACTCCAAACTCCACTATGGTGAAGACCAAAGAGCTGTCAAAGGACACCAGAAACAAAATTGTAGACCTGCACCAGGCTGGGAAGACTGAATCTGCAATAGGCAAGCAGCTTGGTGTGAAGAAATCAACTGTGGGAGCAATAATTAGAAAATGGAAGACATACAAGACCACTGATAATCTCCCTCAATCTGGGGCTCCATGCAAGATCTCATCCCATGGGGTCAACATGATCACAAGAACGGTGAGCAAAAATCCCAGAACCACACAGGGGGACCTAGTGAATGACCTGCAGAGAGCTGGGACCAACGTAACAAAGGCAACCATCAGTAACACACTACACTGCCAGGGACTCAGATCCTGCAGTGCCAGAAGTGTCCCCCTGCTTAAGCCAGTACATGTCCGGGCCCATCTGAAGTTTGCTAGAGAGCATTTGGATGATCCAGAAGAGGACTGGGAGAATGTCATATGGTCAGATGAAACCAAAGTATAACACTGTTTGGTAGAAACACAACTCGTCGTGTTTGGTAAGTAATTATTATTATATGCTTTAACTTGCTATAACTCTGCTTTATAAATTTTATAAAATAAAGTTACTTCCCTACTTTATAAATCACCATTACTGCGGAATTGATGGGCGGTTAGAAAATTTTACTACTAACAGAGATACAAAAGTGGGCGGTAGGTATAAAAAGGTTGACTACCCCTGCTTTAGATTATAGAATTTGTGATCAAGTGTACTTTTTAAAAATAAAAATGATGGAATATAATGAAATTCCTCCAATTTTGCTGGATTTTGGATGGGAATAGCAAATGTCACATGACAGTGGGAGAATTTTGGGGGTACATGGTTGAAATTTGAAGGAAATCAGTATCATTTATATATCAGTCATTTTTAAAGTTGCAGTATACCAGCATCTCATTATCAGTTCTGGGTCTTTTACAAAACGTGGGTTTTAGCAATGCTTAAAATGTTGTTTTTGCTCGCTATTGTTTTCATGAGTATGAAAATATTAATTACAGCTGAAAGATAGGATTGTGCCCCTGTATAAGATTTGGGAGCTTTTAGGAACGTTGGTGTTTCATGGTTTGTGTAGTTTACTGCTTTCTGCCTGAAAGTTAAAATGTGATCTCTACATTTGGAAAATAGATTTTTGATCGGTGGGGTGTATTGTGTATTGTGGAATTCCAGCATCAGAAATTGGAGTTGAAAACAAATGCATTCCTAGACACTAAAAAGACAATATTTTACTACTATGAAAACTTTGATTTGCTCCTTCTGCTATGGTTTGTGAAGTATGGCTTTATAAAATGTATTAATGCAAGATATTTTCCCATATTCTCATATATTTTATACAGATTTTAAAATTATTTTGAATAGAAATTTAAAGGAACAATATTATCACAGCTGTTACTTTGTTATAAGCCCTATGCCCTGTGCTATTAACCATAATTCATATGGTAAAATGTTATTGCAAGTTGTTTGAAAATATTACTCAGAAATTAAAGTATCACAATATGTTTTTCCTTGAGATACAGTATATTGATATATTGATATATTTATTTTGTTTGTACATCCTCAATTCCCAGTGCTAGGTGTCAGCGTAAAATAAAATTATCCCCAAAGCCAAGTGTATACAAAGAGGAAAAATGGAAAGAAACCAGAAAATGCAGAAATAAGAGGGGACCCCCACCTTTGGTTAAAACACACTTTCCTCCTAGGCCAGAGAGAACAGGTAAGTCTTATTTATTTATTTATTTATGAGACTTATATACCGCTTTAAGTGCAAGCACTCTCTAAGCGGTGTACACCAGTAAGCAATGTGTGTATATATATATATATATATATAGGTCTTTGGTTGTTCGGGTTTTTTCCCACGTAAAATTGGAAGTGTCTTGGCGACGTTTCGACGAAGTCCCATTCGTCATCTTCAGGCTGGTGTTTTCAGCTTCGTGCTTCGAGCAGCAATGTGTGGTCTTAGCTGTTTCTTCCTTTTAACTGCCAGTGGGGGTATGAACTGATTGGGTGGGAGCTTGGCTGTGTTCTGATTGGGTGGAGGTGTGTTCTGATTGGTTAGGGGCGTGGCTGTGCTCTGATTGGCTGGGGGTTGGCTGTGCTCTGATTGGCTGGGGGGTTGGCTGTGCTCTGATTGGCTGGGGGAGTGTTCTGTTTGGTTGTGCTCAGGTTAGTCTGAGTTGCAGAGGGGTTTAAGATTTTGGGCTGCCTTGCTATTTTTTGGCTTCGCGTTTGTGGTCGTGCCTCATTTTCATGGAGGGTGTCAGTTTGCTTCATGTATGGATTGGAGGGCTTTAAAGTGGCTAATGATGCAGCTCTGGTCTGGCTTCTGGTTTGTGGTCGTGCCTCATCATCGGTGTGGCTTTGGGTTTGCTTTTTGCGTGGATGTGTGGTGGTGACATCCTGTGTGGTTTTTGTGAGTGTGGGTCTGGTATCATTTTTTGTATTAGGGAGTCGTTTGTCAATAAGGGCGGGTTTCCAAATGGCTGGTAGGCGGGAGGTATCATCTCGCTTGTTCATGCTGTGTGGGCGTTTTTCTATCTCGATGGCTTCTCTGATTATTCTGTTATTAAAATGTTCACTTTTGGCAATGGTTCTGGTATTTTTAAAGTCAATTTCATGTCCTGTGGCTTTAAGGTGTTGGACCAGGGAAGATGTTGGTTCCTCTTTTTTGACTGAGTTCTTATGTTCTTCAATGCGTGCACTTATTCTTCTGTTGGTTTGTCCGATGTATGTGGTGGGACAAGTGGTGCATGGGATTTCGTATACTCCTTGATTTTCTAATTCAATTTTATCTTTGGGGTTTCTAAGGATGGTGGATATTTTTCTGTTTGTGCAGAATGCTGTTTTGATGTTGTGTTTATGGAGGATCTTACTGATTCTGTCTGTGGTGCCTTTTATGTATGGGAGGAGGGCTTTGCCGTTTTCTTGTTCTTCATCTTGGATTTTAGTGGGGGTTTCTTTTTGGATTAGGTTTGTAATCTTATTTCTTTGGAATCCATTGGATGTTAGTACATTGGTGAGAGTGTGTAGTTCGGTTTTTAGGTGTTGTTCGTCAGCTAAGCGTTTTGTTCTGGAGATGAGTGTCTTGGCTACAGAGTTGATCTGTGCTGGGTGGTGGTGTGAGAGAGCGTGCAGATAGCGGTTTGTGTGTGTTTTCTTCTGGTAGATGGTGTGTCCTAGGGAGCCATTGGATTTCTTGTAGACTAAGACATCCAGGAAGGGAAGTTGGTTGTTAGCTTCTGTTTCCATGGTGAACTGTATTTTGGGGTGTAGGCTGTTGAGGTGTGTGAGGAAGTTGTCCAGTTTTTCTTTCCCATGTGGCCAGATTATGAAGGTGTCGTCTACGTATCTGAGCCAGAGTTTGGGTTTGTGATCCGATTTTTCTAGAGCTTGGGTTTCAAAGTGTTCCATATAGAGGTTTGCAATGACAGGTGAGAGGGGTGATCCCATGGGTGCTCCTTCTGTTTGTTTGTATTTTTGTCCATTATCAGAGCACAGCCAAGCCCCTAACCATCAGAACACACCTCCACCCAATCAGAACACAGCCAAGCTCCCACCCAATCAGTTCATACCCCCACTGGCAGTTAAAAGGAAGAAACAGCTAAGACCACACATTGCTGCTCAAAGCACGAAGCTGAAAACACCAGCCTGAAGATGACGAATGGGACTTCGTCGAAACGTCGCCAAGACACTTCCAATTTTACGCGGGAGAAAACCCGAACAACCAAAGACCTACATATATATATATATATATATATATATATATATATATATATATATATATATATATATATATATATATATATATATATATATTTACATTTCCCCCAACAATCTGGGTCCTCATTTTACCTACCCCGGAAGGATGGAAGGCTGAGTCAACCTTGAGCCGGTAAGATTTGAACCGCTGACCTGCTGAACACAGTCAGCTAAAGTGGCCTGTAGTACTGCACTCTAACTGCTGCGCCACCTCGGCTTCATCGTTTTCCCAAAGCTCAAGAGGGTAAAACTCACTAGGTGAGGGTTTTGGGAGGGTTCCAAAGGTGGAGAGGGTAGCCTTTGAGAACCCCACTGGATGGCAATCTTACAGGGGCAGGATATGGACAAAGTTGATCCTCTTTGATCCGATTGAATAGGCAGATGGATATGGGAGATGGCGATACCTTAAATCAGTGTTCCTCAACTTCAATAATTTTCAACTTGTGTGGACTTCACCTCCCAGGATTTCCTAGCCAACATGCTGGCTGGGCATATCTGGGGGTTGAAATCCATGCATCTTAAAATAGTTGAGGTTGAGAAATGGTGCCTTAGATGACCAGGTTCAGAATCAGGTAGGGCCTTAAAGGTTACCAGTACTTTAAATTACACCTAGAACTCAACTAACAATGGATTTTTTTATGGTAATGAAGGGCTTCTGAAAGCAGTTGGATCAAGCAAAAGCTTCTTAGGTAGGGAGCATCACCCTCCATTAATTGCTGATTAGATCCAATTTCCTGCTATTTCATGGCATGGAGCCTCAACTGCAAAGGGAATTAGGAATCCATTTGTGAAGGGTGAACCTAACATTTTGGAGGTGGGCCCTATCCATTTCCTTGTGACTGGTAGACCAAAATGATGCCAGACCATAGACAAGCACTCACTATCCTAATGCTGTCGAGCTGGAATTCAGTTCTCTTGATCCTGGTCAGTTTTGTCTGCCAAATGTTGTGAGAATTCTTCAAATCCACATTGAATAAACCTACAATTTATAAATGATGACATATAACAGTCTTTGCAGTAATGCATCCAGTATGTCTTATTAATGTCCTTTTATGAAATATATGCTGTTTACTGTTATTAGGGTCAAATTATATATGAAGCAAGGAATCCAACTGGATTTCATGAATTTATTTTAAAAGCCTATTTTTGCTAAAAACAGCAGGGGACTTGAGTTGGAGGGACTAATTAAGCTGCTATACCTATACCTATTCCAAATGCTAATCATAAAGATGGGCAGCTGCTGCTCCCTTGTAGGAGAAAACAAAGTATCAGTTATGCAAAATTGTTTCTTCTTGGTTAATAGCAATTCCAGATATTGTGATGACTCCCCCTCCAGATTGTTCCCCAGGTACCTCTCTAGATGTCAGCTTGGGGAAGGATGAACCAGTTCCTGGCATGTCAGGAGCTGAGTTGATTGATGACTCTTAGCAGCCTACTGTGGGGAATTTGACTAAAGCGTAGCTGCCGCAGAACAATCCTGAGGCCCCAGGTGGGGAAAGCATGCAGTTGCAGCCAGTGAGTGATGAGGAAGAGGAGCTGCCTTCTGCACCTAAACAGAGAAGGTCAGCCAGATTACTCACAAAGAGAAAGCCTCGCCCTTCTTGATGGGTGGCAGGGGAAGCTGGCTATTTACCACATTAGACAGATGGAGGCGATGCTGGGAACAATGTGTTTGTTTCCTAGCTGTCTGTTTTCTGGTTGTTGTGATTCCTGCCTCACTTTGGATTGACATCGTGCCTTGATTTGGATCATGCCTTGGAAACTGGACTTTTCTTGCCTCATGAATTCTCTTGTGTTGTGGATTTAAGTTTGCCTAGTGGCTTTATTTGGATTGAGAAACCTTCAAGTGCCTTGTGGGCTCTTTGGCCATTGCTTTGTGTACTAACATTGGTCTGCTTGTGGCTAGACTTAATTGGAATAGTTCTGGGGTTTTGGTGAAGGGAATTGCTGGGGAATATTAATAAACTTACTAAACCACAATTATGTGTCTGTGTCAATGAGTGGGACAACACAAATAGAATAGAATAGAGCTGGAAGGGACCTTGGAGGTCTTCTAGTCCAGCCCCCTGTTCAAGCAGGAGAACCTATACCATCTCAGACAAGTGACTGTCTAGTCTCTTAAAAATCTCCAGTGATGGAGTACCCATGATTTCTGAAAACAAGCTGTTCCGTTGGTTAATTGTCCTCACTGTCAGGAAGTTTCTCCTTAATTCGAGGTTACTTCTCTCTTTGATAAATTTCCAACCATTGTTTCTCGTCCTTCCCTCTGGTGCTTTGGTGAATAGCGTGACCCCCCTCTTCTTTGTGGCAGCCCCTCAAATACTAGAATACTGCTATCATGTCTCTCCTATTTTTTCTTTTGTTTAGACTAGCCAAATCCAGGTCCCGCAGCCATTCTTCGTATGTTTTAGTCTCCAGGCCTTTGTGAGCCTAAACCTGTCCTCAGCCTTTTGCACTTAATATGGAGTCAGTTCTAATAAGAGAATCTTAGGAGATGCATTAACAGAGTTTGATGTACACTATATTTCTGCTCTGAATTGGAACATGTTTTTTGAATCCTGTTCATGTGTGTTTCCAATATTAGAAATTTAAAAAAAAATTAAATATATCTTACAAATAGAATTCCACATGAGATTGTGGTACAAATGAAGACTTGAACACAGATAAGCTTAAGTGTGTTGAATTTCAACTTTTTCAAGTTGAATTTCATGTTTTTCGTATAGTATTTGTACATATACAATAAAATTTATATTACTTCCTGCATGGACATCAAGGAGGAATTTTGCAGTATGCTTAATTGCATATGGCTTCCTCACCAACTGGGTTTTTCCAGCATATTCAAGTGGAGTTAGATAATTTATACTTTGGGGTCAGCCAGACCCATCACTTAATTTTTATGAGTTGAGCAGGCCTATTTGCCATTCTTGCCATCTTTACTTCCACTATTCAAACCCTCAA